CGCCGTGCATCCCGCACGTCGTCTATTGACATTCACTTTCGCTTTGGACCGCAGTCTATGGTGAAATCGCTTATGTGCTCGTGCAAGTGGTCAAAAAAGCTTGTGTAGCACAGCTCCGAACATTCCCAGAGCGACGCCCTTTGGCGTAACGACACAAGGTCCCTGCCTTCGACCGCTCTATGCGCATGACAATGCTGCCCTCTCTTTTAGAGCGCAGCTCTTAGGCGCTCATTTATGGCTTTTAACGGGAAATTTTCCCCGTTAAATTGAGCGGGAAAATTTCCCCGCCAAATTTAACATGAAACTTTTCCCGCTAAAATTTAGTGGGAAATTTCCTGCTAAACGGGAGGTGAGCAGGAGAGGGGGGTACAGAGGAGGAGGAGGGGCATACCCTCCTCTCTGTACCCTCCTCCTCCTCAAGAGCTGCGCTCTAATTCGGCACAACAGGGAATTGTAAACGTCTTTCATTTTTTACTCTACAAAATAAGTCTCGAACCTCTTCGATCGCACTATTGTATACGAGTACTTCGCTTCAGTGAGTGACCGCCTCTTTTCTCTTTCACGTTTTTATTGTTCGGTCTAAAAGAAAATAAGTGTTATTAGTCTGTCCTTTATTAATTTTTTTTTTTTTGTTTTGAAAACATGAATCTGTTTGAATTAAATGTTGCATAGCAAGAAAATATGAAAAGTTCTTTCTTTTTTTTTTTTTTTTTGAGCGCATCTTCTGGGCAGAGTGGCGCAGGTTTTCAGAACGACCTCGCGACTGCAATCATTTCTCCGTCCAGCAACGCGAAGCGTCTCTGGAAGGATGATCGCTTATAATATAAATGCGACAGAATGGAGTACCATAAAATGACCGCTAAGGTACCAAGCAGAGGCTTGTCTTTCGTTCATGCCCGATTTTACAATACATGAAGGTATAAACTACAGGTTGACATGTGACTATCCCAAATTTTGCAGGTGCGGTTCGTAGGCGGGTAAAAAGTATACGGATGGAGATACAATAATTTAAGGTGGTAGATTTCAACTTGAGAAATTTCGAGGCGTACAAGAGAGGGAACTCGTGCGAGTTGGCAATTCATTACTAATGAAAAGAACAGTGCTAAAAATTGACAGACTGAAATTTGCTTCTTGTGGAAGTACTGGTGACCTTCTTGAAGGGACTCAAGAGAATCTAGTGCCGTAGCGAATTGAAGAAAATCTAGTGCCGTAAATCATAAATAGTTGATAGCAAAACGTTTGCTAATTAATCTTTTAGGCTAATTGAAAACAAAGAAGCGAAGTGCAAAGTCACTACAGTGTCGTTAAAAATAACAAAAAAGGTGTCTTGCAGTTAGAAAGCCTTCAAGCGGATAGAAGAAAACATGCTGACTCCACCAGCATAGTGGGAGAGTGCAGGCAAAAAAAAATAAATAAAAGCAATGGCACTCCGGTCATTGCAGGGTACATGATTGTCTTTTCAACTAAAAAATGAAGAAAAACATGACCCCGACTTTGTACTTTCTGTGGGGGCCTTACTATGGCACCAAAGATAAGGTAACATACCCTAGTTATTTTTTATTTGTTTATGCAGCCTTTTGAAGATGCGCTAGCGAGATTGCAATTGTTTCTTCTTTTCTTCTATAATATAATCTTTCCGGGTTCGATATGACCAATAGAATCGACCTATGTCCTGCTCGTGTTACCGACCGTCCAATAAAAAATAGACGCCCGTGCCCGATAAAAATGTATCAGGCATGGGCTGGGCCGTGCATGGCCTAGAAATTAAAAATTGTGTTGGGCTCGGGCCGGGCTGTCTCTACTGGGCCGGGTCAGGCCTAGAAATTAAAAATAGTGTTGGGCTCGGGCCGGGCGGTGTTTCTACCGGCCTAGAAATTCCGGCCTGTGCAGTGCTCCAAGATGCATTAATGATAGGTTAAGGGGGCATGATCTGGACGTGGGGTCTTCCGGCCATCTGTCACAGGATCAGGCGTGTGCCACGCTTTACTAACACTACAATTGTGACAGACGAATTAAGGAACCAGAGAGACACAGCTGAGACATCCAGCATGGCAAGAAGCCAGGAGGGCGTGTGTGTGTCGGCTGTCTATCGCTTTGTTTAGCGGGGATAGTGCATATCGCCTTGAAGCAAATATCTTGATAAGATAGGCAGATAGGCAGTGTTCAGCGTTTTTGGTGGTTCGACAGTTTTATGTTTCTTCATACTGAAATTCAGTGGTCCTGTCTCCGACCTATCTTGTGTCAATTCTTTGCGCTTTTCTTTTTTTGTTAGTAATTTTAAGGTGCAGTTCTCTTAGAAAAAAAATGGTCAATGCGCAGGTGAGCTGGTGCGCATTCATCTTAATGTTGAAACCCTGAGAACGGGATGGAAACTTGAAGATACATTAGAAGAAACACAAGAGAGGTGACAGACAAGCGTTTCAAACTTGGCAAGCAAAATTTATTTCATACGACGCTTCCATACCTTTCTCCCATGGTCGTCCCCAACATAAAAAAAAACACACACACACAACACTTTGTTTTTAAGGTGACTCAATTCAAAGTCAGTTTGTTCTGAACACAGAAAGGCATGAATCGAAGCAGCAGGCCCAGGAGGGCCAAATCAATCAATCAATCATTTTTATTTGTGTCTCTATAATAATACAGGCCGACTAAACTGTTTAAAACGACTAAACTGTTTAAACCAACCTAATTAATCCTAGGAAGCTTTGCAATCTCAACTGACATTGTTCTTCTATTCCTTTGTGTATCTGTGTGTCAAAGAACTGTGTCGGTCGGGGTTTAAGCCTTTGTGTGTTTTCAAACAAGTCATCTTAAAAACAAAGTGGTGCTTTTTTTTAATGTATTTTATACGTTGTGGAGTTCCCTCCTAGACCTACGGTTCACGCCTTTGTGTGTTCCGAATTGAGTCATCTTAAAAACAAAGCGGTGAACTTTTTTTGTGTGTGTATGTTCTTTTTACGTTGACGACGACCTTGGTAGAAGGGTGCAGAAGTGTTGTATGAAATAAATTTGGTTAGCAGAGCTTGAGACCAAAACTTATCCAAAAAGTATTCCTTAAAATTCCACAAGGTAAAACTGGCCACCACAGTCGGTGAAAGTTCGAGCCGTGCAGGCGGCGACTCTTCAGATTCGCTTTACGGCGTTAACTAATTGCTTTTTTCAGTAACTTGGGACAACAGACTGGTCTCGGGCAGTAACAAGTTACTAGTAATGCGCTGCCGATAAGAACTTCCAACTCGTTTTACGGCGTTAATGTGACCGAGTCAGCAGGGAACAACAGACCAGCCTTGGGTGCTCCTCCCACCCCTTTCCACTTCAGAGGAGGTGGAGAGGAGGCCACCCCCCTCCAGCGTTCGCTCTACTAAAGTGGAAAGAGGTAGGAGGAGCTTCCACTTCGTTCTTGACCTGTCACAACAGACTATAATTACTAGTAACTCGTTACCGGTAACTAGTTACTTTTTTCAGTAACTCGTAGATGTAACTTGTTACTGCTCAGTGAAAATAACTTGTAACAGGGTCACTATTCTTCTAAAGTAACTGTAGAGAGTAACGTCGTTACAGTTACTTCTCAGATTTGGGACAATAAACCGCTCTTTGGCAGTAACTAGTAGTTACTAGTAATGCGTTACCGGTAATTAGTTACTTGTTTCAGTAACTTGTTACTGCTTAGGTGAAATAACTCGTAACAGGGTTACTATTTTTCGAGAGTAACCGCAAAAAGAGTAACGTCGTTACACTTACTTCTCAGATTATGTGCAAAAATATCGCGAACACGACCGCCAAATCATCTCACAGCTTGTGAGCGAGTTTGAAGTCCCGATACAAAAAAACTGCTAAAAAAACTGTCTAAAAAAAAAATAAAAAAAATAAAAAAATTTTTTTGGATGACCGCAAATGTGTGATACGGTTAGGAAATGGCAAAATAAAAAATCGCAAAAGCCGTTCGAAATTCTGCACGCAGCGGCCGTTTGTACCTCGAACAATGCTTCCTTTGCACCGCTGCTGCGTTCGGTGGATTTGACGAAGAGCGTCGCCTAAACGTTGCTCACGGAGTTTTTGAGAGGAGCTTCGCATTTTGTGAAAGAGTGTGCGCACACAGTAGAAAACGATGAGATGGACGAGTGGATTGGAGTGGCACAAGAAAATGTCTACAAAGCTGATTGCAATTGGGTAGACTTGTATTATTACTGACTCGACATTTGCACGATTTTTATTGCTTCCGTCCTATTTCGCTTCACCAAAGAAACCTGAAATTAGAATTGACCGATTGTAAACTCGCCACAATGACTGGATATACCCGAGATCTAGATGTGTGCCGTTATATTCGCGTACACCTCGTAGTGGTCGCACTTATTTTATAGTTCTTAATGGATCATCAGCACTATCTGCTAGCTTAACATTTTGAAAAAACAAAAGTCGCGTGTTACTTTTGCCAAAGAACTATAAATGCCTTATCATATAGTGGGATTTGCCCAATACTGTCTTAAATTGTGTTATTTATTCATATATTATTATTTATTTTATTTAGTACATACTGCGGACCTTCCAAGCACGATAAGCGGCAAAAAATAAAAAAATAACGCTACACAAAACAATGCTTGCACATCAAACAAAATATACATATATCAAAATCTAGTAAATCACACAGCTATATAACAATAACTTATCAAAATATACAATGACAAAGATAACAGTGAAACTACTTGTTCGAAAGCTATGGGGAAAAAGCCCCCCAATGTGGGTTACTTTAGCGAACTAACGGTAACTGTACGAAGTTAATGTTTAAATTTTGTAACTGTTAATGGGTTTCTTTCTTTGTTTCCTCCTCCTCCTCCCCCTCTCTCTCTCCTCCTCCTCCTCCTCCTCCTCCTCCTCCTCCTCCTCCTCCTCCTCCTCCTCCCCCCCTTCCTGAGCAACTAATTAACTGTAACATTGTTCTAGCAGTAACGTGCCCATGACAGCAAGAGACTCCACGGAGAGCATGTAAGGGAGCTCACCGCTTGCACCGAGAGTGCCACCGCGAGTCCACCCGCACGGTCGAAGGCCTGCGGGAAATTGAGCAAGCCTGCTCCCAGGGCAGCGTTGACAACCAGGAAGACAGCAGCGTACCAGCTCGTCCCTGGAAAGCCATCATCCCACCTGTGGGACCCGACGACAGCAAGCAGCTGCCCACCTGAATTACGCGCCTCCTGAGCGGCCGCCTCTTGGATGTTGTGCGGCACCTCGACTGACTCCGCTGTTACCAGCTTCGCATCGTATTCCGCCACCACCACTGAGGCCGACATCGCAACTACCCAAAGGCACGGCGGCACGGTTATTCAAGTGCGCACCGTGCCCACCTCGTGCAACCGGGGGGTGGTACCGTGGGCCCGTGGGTGGTATTAGGGGCTGCTGGTGCTACCTAGTGGCACAGTGTTGTGGTAATTGGTAACCTCTAGTGATACCGTGATACTATGGTGCCTGGAGCGCGTCTCCGACTGGTGTGTTTACCGCGGCCAAAAAAGTGGTCCCTCGATTTCCGCCTGATGACGTCAGAGAAGTGTCATGCTGTCGCCAGTCGCGACCCTGGCGGCGTCCCAACAGCTAAGGTCTATATGGCAGATGCCTATTCTGCTGCAGGTCGCTTTCACTGTGACAGTTCACGGAAGCTAAAGCAGCGGGAGTTGGGACGCCTAAAGGGACGCCATGAAGACAGCGACACTCGCGTTTGCTCGAGCTTTTCGCCAGCATTTCTACGGCCAACCGCCAGGATCGCGACAGGCAACAGCATGACATTCGCGTCATTTGTTGCCACATCGGGACCACTTTTGATGTATGGGTGGGATAGGACGCTAAACACACCAGTCAAAGACCCGATCCAGGCACCATAGTGATACTGGTGATACCGTGCCCACTCTAGAAATTGAAAAACCTGGCGGTGAGGTTATGCCGTAAACTAAATGTATTTCATACAATTTCGAGAACTCAAAAATATAATCCACGGATACTAATTATATATATTTCTAAATACCAAAAATAGCACAGTACCATTTAGCAGACGAAATTCCTGTTTGCGACCGCTTCTTACAATTGGCGCCTCAATCGGCCAAGGGTTTTTGGTTAGTTTCGGTTTCGGTCTGGCGGTTTGTGGCCACAGCACCGCCACACCGTTTCTCACTCACGTGCTCCGCTCGGTTTGGGTACAATTCCAGGTTATTTAAACTCAGGTTAGGCTCGTTAAGTTGTTTATTTGTATAAATGTTTTCGTTTCTCGTGGATAAGTATGTTTTGTTGCTTCACCAGCCGGCTCTGCATTTTTGTTGTTGTGACGTGAGCCAAAATGAGTTGCTGGGCAATTAAGTTATGTAAGGAAGAGACAACAGGAAGGAAAGGGCGCTGACTCACAACTGAGGTTTTAATAATGATGTAGTGAAAGATAAGGAAGGTGTCAAGTGCGGTAAATATTATTAATTTATAGAAGGTTACAATTAGTAACTTCTTTCTAAGGGCCATATTAACGGAATGACAATGTGCATTTTTTAAGTAACCCAAGTGAATCAGATGTGATCTACAAAGTTGACGGTGACCCAACGGTTATGACGGTTACTGGTTGTCACAGCCAGAAAAAAGAAGAAACACGATGTCGACGGTGATCCCAAGGGGGGTTGGCTTCCACAGAAATGAAAATTGAGAAGAAGGCAAAAAAGAAGAAGAAGAAAACAGAAAAAAAAAACTATTTAGGGACTAAAATTTAAAAAAAAATTGGAGCTCTTTCGTCGTCAGAGCAATCGAAGGCGTACTTATACAGGCTAGGCCCTTATTCGCGATCTTGCGCGCCTTGTACACCTCTCTAGTCTTTTGTTCCTTAAAATGTTTAAGCACCTTAGTCTCAGAAAACCATGGTGTGCACCTGCAATCTCTCACATGCACAGCAAGATGGCCCGCTGGCGTTGAGTTTAGAGAAAGTGCATGTTCCCTGAGTCTCACATTGATGCACCTTCCAGATTGTCCCAGATGACAACGGTATTTCGTATATGATGCCGCTGCGACATTCCACGAACTTCCTTGCATGGTTGATTTTACATAGGTCATGTGTATCCTGCTGCTTGTTGATTTTTGGACATAATCTTTTAAGTTTGTCGGGCGCTGTGAGGAGGATAGGAACCTCAAACTTTGCGGCTACTGTTTTTAGGTTATGGGAGAGACGGTGAAGGTAGGGCATTACCACAGGTCGGATCTTTGTTCGGTTTGGACTTCCTCTTTGACGTTGTTTTAACATGCTCTCCACGATGGTGGAAATAACTGAAGTCGGGTACCCTGAAGCGCGAAGTCTCTGCAGCTGGATGTTGAAGCTCTCTCCTGCTGTGTGGTCGCAAGACTTCCTCAGCGCCGCCCCCAACGTACTGGCAACAATTCCTCTCTTGACGAGCTTGGTGCGTGCGGAGTCAAATTGCAGAAGACTTTTCTTTGTTCGTGGGGCATACATCCAGCATACACTGTCGTCATGGAATGTTATTTTGAGATCTAAGAATTGGAGGGACCTGTACCGCTAAAACCTGAAACCTGTACCGCTAAAGGGTGACGCCAACAGCGTCACCCTTTAGCGATGAGTTGAAACATGTAAGGTCACCGAATTTTCCCAGAGTACTGATCAGGGTGTAAAATAAACAGGTGGGGAAACGGCCCACAGAAGCCTACCGCAGCGCCGTGACCGGATTGTGTACTCGTCTGCTTGCGGGTACCGCCGATTTGCGACAGATGGCGCTGCGGCGAGAAGAAAAAAAAAATCGGAATCGAATTTGCATGAAACTCTATGGGAGAGTGCGCAAAATAAACCGAGACCCCGACAGTCCTCCATTGAAAATCCACGGGAAATTATCTCCGTCAGTTTAGCCGGTCGCCACCGGTCGCCCACCCGGAGTGAGAGTTCGCGGTGCTCCACATAGATGGCGCCACAGAAAAAGAGAAAGCCGAGGGGGACACAGTCCGGTCGCTCATTTGGCTCTCGTTTCCCCACCTGTCTATCTTACACCCTGGTACTGATGCTCCCAGGCACGGTGTAGGGAAGGAGCATACCTTGGCAAACTCACTCATGAACTTGCTCACTCACACTCACGGCGCGATTGTGTTCTTCACATGCACGATTTATCGAAGAGTGGTATATATACATTCCAGTTCCTCCAGCTTGCTTGGTCCTCAGTTCCTGGAGCCGCAAGGGCGACTGTCGCCACGGGATAGCAGGCCTCCCGGGAGCGGGAAGGTCATGCTTGTCGGTACATCACTCGTCGTCAATCTTTATTGTCAACATGCAAGAGTGTAAAGCAAGCTGTATTCGGTTGCAGAAAGACTAAAAAGTAAAAATTTCGCCTTCTCTTCCTACCCGGCGAAAATTTCTAACTAGGACCAGTTGGCACCTCAACTGGTTTCAACTGGGACCAGCTAAGAGGTCAACTGGGACCAGCTGAGGGGTCAACTGGTTTGAACCATTCCCAACTGGGAATGGAGTGAACTGGGACCACTTAGGGAAGTAACTGGTTGGAGCGATTCCCAGTCGGACTTCAAATGCCTTTTCCGGTCCCAGTTCACATGGGGAAACAAAAGAAAACTAAAAATACTTACATTTTTTTATTTATACAAACAAGGAAATATTTAATTACTAAGTGCATTTATGTATTTATAAAAAAAAAAATTATAACTAAATAATTTATTTTAGTTGGAAAATATAATTAGTGACATAAAATGTGCTTACCTAAATGAATATTTAGTACATATATAAAAAAATGTGTTAAAACATTTATTTAAATACTTACAGTATTTTTTTTTCCTCTGGCACCGTTCGAGTTCTCTCCCAGAATGCATCGCACTCTCAGAGTGTTGCACGGAAAACTGGACTCAAACGAACTCGCCAAATGCACCGAGTGCAGAAGACTGATGCTGCCGCCATCTATGTTGTAGAAAAGGTACCGACTTCAAACCGAAACTAGCGCCTTTCTGATCGGAGTGATGCGTGGGAATGCGAATGCAGTCGCTACCAACGTTTATCTACAAACGTTGGTCGCTGCAACCTGTAGTTTATAGTTGCGATGACTTCAAGCAGCTCGGCTGCCGTAGAGATAGTTACAGACGGCGTAAATTTCCGCAACCAGCTGTCTACAAAGCAGCTGGTTCCGATCTTTCAATTCTTATAACCGTTTACACTGAAGAAAACTGATGATGCTGTCCGAGCACAAGCATGATCCGTTTGAGCATGGTATTATGCGTGAACCACTGAAAGGGTGCGGCTTAAAACTAGCCTGTTGGAATATCCAGTAAAACTGGGACTTTGGATTTGGATCGTCATTATAGCTGGATCAGATGATCCACCTATAATGCCTCGGTGAGGGCGTCGAGAACGAGAGCATTCTCGAACAAAATACGACGGGGCAAGTTAGCTGACGTAGGTAAATGTTAAACATGATCATGTTGCCCAATCCTCGGGTAAAGTTACCATCTTTAGCTTTCTCTGATGCTTATTGGGCAGTCAGAGGTTTCTGCTGAGAGAGTTTTGTCGACAAATGTTAAATTTTTCACCCGCACACGGATGGTGATAGATATCTCGGGGGCCGCTTTTACGTTTGTTCTGAGCATTCCTTTACACATTGGTATATTTCAGCGTCTGTGCGGCAACAGAGCGATTTAAAACCTGCAAATAAATCACGGGTTGTCAATTGCTTCCTTCGGGAAATAGCAGACGCTCACAATTCAAGCTCGCGTTTGATTTCGTGGCCCGTGGGACGCGATTTCTATCAGAAAATCTACTTTTTTTTCGTTCGGTTTCGCGACACATCGTAGCAGACGAACCCTCGTCGTCTGCTCCCGCTCCTCGCCTGCCCCGCCGGAGCGAGGCATGACGGGATTGCATTTTGGCGCACTCCCGATTTTCTCGGTGCAGCGAGTGCATGCACGCTTGGGGTGTCAGCGCTGAAACGAACTCGGAGAGTGCAACCACTCGTGGAGTGCCGGCCGAAACGAACCCGTTCCACGCTGCGAGTGGGCACGCGTGGGCACGAGTGCCGTGAAACGAACTCGCTATTAAGTAAAAAATTGAAGTTCTGGGGATATTTATACAGCGTGTAGTTGGTCAGCCATTAAAGTTGCGACGAGTCACACGCTGGTAAATTTATCGTTAGGCAATCGGAGCTAGCCTAGCCGGCCGCAGTGGCTTGCGGGTGCAAATTAGTGGTACGCGCTGTCGAGAGATGGTGCCGCATATGCGGCGCAGGCCAACGGACTCATTATGTAAGATTTGCTCCAGAAGCCAAGTTTGGCACTTTATTTCGCTTGAAATATATGCTCATATAAGTCAGCTTTAACTAATTCTGGCAGAAAAGTATGCTTGCATTACACGTAAAAAATTTGACTGTGTAGAAAGCTGTATTCTTTATTCATCCAGCCTTCAAAGTTGCATCATCGCACAGTTACGAAAATAGTTTTTTCAACCTCCTCTCAAATGTGATTTTTTTCACGAATACTATGAAGTATCTTGCAAAAGTAAAATCTGTCCCGCTGTGTGGACTGGTTTTGCTACCTCGTATAAATATTTAATTGAAAATAAAAAATAGGCATGACACCACCATGACCGTCCTTATCTGAACACACCCTGAAGTCAAGTCGGAATGGAACCGTAATGTAGAGGTTACCGGTTCTTTGGAAAACGGGTCAGCGCAATAAAACGTTTTTCTAACAAAAAGTCAAGGTCACAAAACGAAATTAGGCATATATTTGTTTTGCTGTTTCCGCAGCACAACCTCTGAATGCTTTTTTTCTTTCTTTTTTTTAAAAGCAAATGACACCGTGTTGAACACACTTCTAAATGACTTGGAAGTGCCAACTTTTCTTTTCAAGAATCGATTTGAACCGCTTTGCATTTGGTGAAACCAGTAACCGAATCGTTATTTCAAATTCGTCGCTGCACCGGAACCGAACCTGAACAAAATGCGGAGCTGCTCAACCCAAACCCGAATCGGAACAACGAATGGTTCGACTGTCTGGTTTCGTTCGAGTTCTAAAGGTTGTAATGAAACTGCAATTCTTCATTAATATAAAAAACAAACCTTTTGTTTTTTGGCATATGAGCATCAATACCATTTAATATTAAAAACATCGTACAAAAAATCAGCATGCGAACATTAGATCCAGTTGAACCCACTAAGGTTATTGGAAAGCTTTCATTAACTGCCCCAGCTAATTTAGTTTAATTTAGACTCACCTTGTCTTTGCACGGATCAAACTGACATAAACAGAGCCTTAAGAGCACCCGGAAAGAAAAGCTCGGACGCGGAACAACGCAGTTCTAATCGTAATTATGGCGACACCACGGGCACAAATCGCTCGTCGAGGCATTTTCACTCTATTGAGCGATATTTTGTTCACCCCGCAAGGCCCAACAGCCGTCTTTGGCAGGATAGCTCCGAGCAGTCTTGACGAAACTAAGGGCAGACCAAACTAATTTCACCTGCCAAAACAAAGGCAGGTAAAAAAAAAAAGGACACCAGAACTGCACCTAGGCAAGAACCGCCAAATTCGGAGGAGAGCTTCTCCAACGAACCATACCGGTTGTTTATTTGGACGATACGGATGCCAAAAACACTCGTCTTCTCGACGCTCGAGGATCTTCTAGGCCCCAGAGATGTCGATTTCCCGTCGCGAGGTTTTCAAAGACCCATGCAAACGCTTCTCCACTTTCGCTCATTGTCCGAGGGACGCAATGGAAATGGGAGTGGTGCCTTCCCCTACCGAGGTTCTCAGTTGGGCTTCGGAGAGTGGTCCACCTCGTGCTGGACTCGTCTCCGTCCGATCAGGTCCAGGTCCAAGTCCGTGTCGTCGCTGAACGACGAGTTCTCGGAGTCGCTGCTGTCTGTGTACACGCCCAGCCCCGGCAGGACCCCGAGGCAGCTCAGGGCCGTGGGCGCATGAACGACCGTCTGCTGTGCCGGCGCGTCACCACCGCAGGGATCCCCGAGGGCCTTGCCCCCGTTGCATGGAGCCTGGCCTGCAAAAGGCGGGGAGCAATCGACATCATCTCTGGCACCCACGCCTCTGCTGGAATGCAACCATGTCCGCCGAGGAGTTTGTCTCCCTCTCTCTCTCTCTCCATTATCATCATCATCATCATGTCTCTTTATGGTGCCCATAAACGACCAGACGTCTGCAATGCAGCATTGGTACGTAAAACTTCAGAAAATAATCGTGCACAAATTCCACGTGCCAAAATATACGTCCATGAATTCATATGAAGAACAGAAATCCATTCAATCATCATCATGTCTCTTTATTGTGCCCATAAATGACCACACGTCTGCAATGTGGCACTGGTACATAAAAGCTGAGAAAATAATCAGGCACATATTCCACATGCTGAAATATACATCGATGAATTCATATGAAGAACAGAAATCCATTGGAGCAACTTACATGATGATGATGATGATGTCTTTTTATTGTGCCCAAAAACGACCAGACATCCGTAATGCGGCACTGGTACGTGAAAGTTGAGAGAGTAATCGTGCACAAATTCCACATGCCAAAATGTATGTCCATGAATTCATACGAAGACCAGAAATCCGTTTGAGCAACTTGTATACATTACTAAGAAAAGAATAGCATATTATGCAATTGTCTTTTGAATTCGACGTAGTCACTGAAAATATCTAAGTAGTTTTCATTTCCAAAATTATCGACAGCTATCTGCACTCTAGATAAAGGCGACGACATTAGATTGTTCAGAGTGTAAAAAGTAAAAGCGCTCCTGTTAAAACGAGCCGGAACATTAAAATTAACTTTGCATAAAAGCTTGCAGTCTACATCGCCATGAATTACTCTGTGCAAAAGTACTACATCACGTGTCAGCCTTCTGACGGACAAAACATGAAGCCCCAATTCAGCAAAAAGTTCATAATTATAAAAATGTCTTCTGCCAAAATGTCTATTATGAGCTATGTGTGCCAGACGTCTCTGAACATACTCTATTTGTGCTTCATCATGTGCACTAAGAGGATTCTACACTATTGAACATAATTCCAATCTAGACCTGATAAGGGAACAAAACAGGTGGAGCAAGCAAGCATGCCCCACAAAATGTTGAGTTACACGAGTTATTGTTCCCAGCAATCTAACTGCGGTACAAACGACCTGGCTGACGTGGTACGTGAACGACGGCAAACTATCAAAAGTAAAGAGGAAAACTTACCAGAACCGTTGGTGTGTTGCTTCTTGGAAGGGTCGCTCGATGAGTCGGCACTTTTCCTCTTGACGGCGGCGGAGAGCAGGGCGAGCTGGCTCCTTCTGCCCGTCGAAACTCCCTGTGCCGCGGCAGCCTTCTTCATCTCTAGACGCTTGGCCTCCATGGCTTCCTCGGACAAGCTGGCTACCGCCTTGTGCGCGCCGTCAAGGAATAACCAACCAGGATGGGGGGGAGGGGCACTTGCCCCCCCCCCCCACAACAAGCGTTGTTAAGGAATACCCGCGGCAAGCAGCCCCCCCCCCCCCCCCCCCCAAAAAAAGCGCCGTAAAGGAATACACGCCGCGGCACACACACACATGGACGTACCAACCAGGGGGGGAAAGGGGGCAGTTGTCCCCCCGCAGTTCTCAGACTGGGGAGGGCAAGGCATGTGTTTTGCTCCCTCCCCTGGAACAGCCGCCACTGGGCAGGGCTAACACTGGCCAGCAGCACCCAAGGGATACCAAGGGGGGCACCGCGCCCCAGCCCGGGGAAGGGGTTCTGGTATGCCCCCTCTCCGCCCACTCAAAAACAAGTTAGTACGCCACTGCACACACACACTCACCCCCGAGTGAGTCTGTGGGAGCAAGCCTTGGCCTCGTCCCCCAGCACCGGAATGTCGAACCGGAACCATTATTCTTAGTTGAACCAGAGCTGGTCCCAAATCAATCTTACAACTGAACCGAAAAAAAAAAAAAAATTGATGGTTACCGGTTTGAAATGATTGATAGACGTGCTGCGCTGCGAAGTTCTACAGAACAAACGCGTGACTAAAAATTGAAAATGAAAAGGATGAGTTTACATTAAGATGAGGAGAAACACAACGAACACAAATGGGCGCTGTCATCCTTTTCATTTTCAATTTTTAGTCACGCGTTTAATCTGTAGAACTTCGCAGCGCAGCACGTCTATCAATGTACAACCAACTAGCCCAAACCCAAGTCCAAGGTTTGAAATGATTCGGCGCACTAACACCACAAACTCAATTTTTGAGAATGCAAAAGATCGGCAGCTGCATTTCCAGCTATCGGTCAAATGGTTGCATACACGACCGCAATCTATGGGAAATGGGATTTCATTTCATTTTATCTGCAACTGAAAGTTGAAACTCGCCAGGAATTTTCCAAGGTGGCAGGCGAGCGAGTCGGCTCGCTCGGATGGTGCCTCCACAACTGAGCATGTGCTCAAACGAGCACATGCTCATTGTTTCTGTGCTCTGTCGTTGCATGCACACCCCAGACTCACAAGGTAGAAAGATATCAAAAGCATAATTCAATCAAATTTGTTTTGTTGGTGCCATTTGTTGACTCTAGGGGGAACCACTGCTGTCATTCATAGGTTGCTGCTTTGAATCCAGTTCGACGTACGGAAATTTTACGCTCTCTCATAAGCTCACCGGTGACAGAAAGCGATCACGTGATTGACAATGCCACCAGCAGTTTTCGCAAAGGACTCCCAGGGAGGCCCCCACCAACAGCCGTCGCTGTAAAACTGATGCACGTTCCGTATGTCAAAAATTAGTTGTAAGCAGTATTTTCCAAAAGTCCAAAAATTGTTCCACAGTACCGAGAGCATGGAGGGGTTGTGATATCATGGAAACATGGCTCACAGCCGCATCGGCTACAGTGAATTGCGAGGATGCGACTGTGAGCCATGTTTCCATGATATAAAAATTTCAGCCCGCCACAGAAATAAAACCGTGAGGGAAATTGATGAAGCATTTTTGTATATCTGTGAAAGGAGAGGAAGCATGCATCAGTGCGCCATCCTTTGCTCTGATGAGTGACGAGGCAAACTTTATCATGACTTGTGGCAAGTTTGTTTGATCGCAGATAAGCATGTGCGCGGAACAGTTTTGACTAGGGATGCCACAAACTCTTTTCGAACCGAAGTTTGGATGATTGAATCAAGCGGTTTGAAAGGTTCGAAAGATTTCGAATTTTCAACTTTCCATTTCGAGAAATTCGACAGAAGTCGAATTTTCAAACTTATTAAACTAAGAAGTTTTTCGAAATTTCGAACTTATTACGCTGCAAAATTCAATGATTTTCGAACTTGATAAACTAAAAAATTTGATGATTTCCTAATTTTCTAACTTCTTGCACTAAAAAGTTCGAAGCTTTTCGAACTTTCGAGCTTCCTACGCTAAAAAATTAGATAATTTTCAAACTTATTAATCTAAAGAATTCGAAAATTGTCGAACTTTCGATTCTTAAAAAGTCAAAAGTTAGACAAACTTCGAACCTTTAGGGTAAAAGTTTGAAGTTCGTCGAACTTCGAAAGATCGGCGGGCGGTTTCATTTGGATTCAAGCAATGTGGTACATTCATAATTTTTTTTTCTTCGCAATTTTACTTGCGGTACCATATTCCTTGCGAAAGACAATGCCGTTTAATTCAATCATCTGGCATGCTTGGTTTTAAAGAAATAGATTCCCGAAAAAGCGAGGAAGGGTGACGGGTTTTTGACAATTGTCGTTTGTGCCATATTTGAAGTGCGCTATAGCCGAAGCTATTTGTGGTAGAGATGTTTAACTTTTTAAGAATGATCTATGTATAGCCTAGGTAAGTGTCGACTTAAGATATGATTATTGTTCTTCAAGACGAGTTTCGAAGAAATATCCAAACATGTACCGACGGGCAATTATGCCCTAAAGTTGGTAATTTTTTTTGTCTACATTGTTTGAGGTATCACATTTAAATTAACACCAGAGACAGTACATATCGCTACCACCTGCAGAATACAAAATAATGTATGCACTGTGTTTCTCACGTTGAGGAATAAATTAACTCATGGGGGAAGATTTCTAAAACTGTTCAAGTTCAGCACGTCATAAAAAAGAAATTACCATTTTTTTCTCATTTTACGTTCTTGGGACGTGCTTTTATGGTCTGTACACATTTTGGTAGGAAAAACTTGTTTCATAGTTCGGGACCTCTGAATATGCAGGAATACAACACTTCCGACGGGTTCTTGATAGTTTTTTTTTTTTTTTTTTTCTCCAGCTTTTTATTTTTGCATTTATTGTTTTGTTTATTTATAGATTATATTTTACCAATGGCACAGTTATTTAGGTCGAAAAGATATCGCTTTGAACTTACGAGCCACCGAGCATGTGACGAGTAGTGCCTTCTGACAACGAGTTTCGAACAATGACCATCTAGGCGATCTTTTATGCAGTGAAGGGCGATAGTTGCTATACATATGCATAAATTATTTCAGATTAAGATAAGCTCGACCATGCCCTCTTTCACCATATTGTTCTCTTTAACAGTCCGGAATACCAGGGAGGGGAGGGGGAGATAGTGCAGCCCCCCTTCCTTCCCCTCCTCCTCCTCCTCCTCCTCCTCCTCCTCCTCCTCCTCCTCCTCCTCCTCCTCCTCTCCTCCCCCCGTTTTTCCTCTTCCGACGCCACTGGTATGGTAGGACGCTCCTCGACCTCAAGTTGCGTCAGCGTCTGTGCTTTTTGCTTGGAATTTCTTCCGCCCCAGAAAATAAACCTCCAAAGCAATTACAAACAAAAAAATTGTCAAGGTGCAGGCGAGCTGGTGTATGTTGATCATGATGCAAAATCCCGAGACTGGGAATGAAATTCGCAAGAAATAGTGGAAGAAGAAAGAAAAAAGGGGACAGGACAACGTCTCAAACTCAGCTGAGTTGAGTTTGAGACATTGTCCTGAGCTGAGTTTTCAGCTGAGTTGAGTTTGAGACGTTGTCCTGAGCTGAGTTTGAGACGTGCTGTCCCCTTTTTTCTGTCTTCTTGCACTTTTTCTTCAAATTTCATTCCCAGAGGTGAGTTTGAGGCATTGTCCTGCCCCCTTCTTTCTGTCTTCTTACACTTTTTCTTTCAAACTTCATTCCCAGTCTCAAGATTTTGCATCATGTACAAACTAAACTTACTATGTGCCAGCGTCACTCGGGCGTCGTTCGATCAAATTACTACCAGCGTGCAAGGCGGTAGGGGGGCAGTTTGCCAGATCACTTCAAGGTTTTTCTGAACCTCAACCACCTGCCTGCCCCTGGCCGTTTCGAACTGGATGAGTATCGTTAAACAGTGCGTTTGTAGGATCACTACTTCGTGATGCACGTTAATGACCACCCCGGGCTGGCGGTCACAATTACTGATCTATTGTCACACGTGACTCTGCACTGGCAAATATTCCAGCACATCCGGGACACTCGTCGTCTCATTTAATTGCCTGAGCAACTTCGCGCAGACTAAACATCAGACCCGAACTTTTCTAAACCTGATTTCGTGAAAACCAGTGAGGCGTGAAAACGTTATTTGAAACTGAAACTGTGGCAGAACATGAGAACCGGACTTTGAACTTTGCGCACTTAGACTTCAAAGAAATTGAAAACCTTCAATTTTTTTCTTCTTTTTTTTTTTAATTTAGCCCTAAAAGAGAATCAAAACCTCCAAAATTTTCGAACTTTATGTAGAAAGCAATTCGAAATCTTCGAATTTATCGAACTTTATGTCTTTAAAAATTCAAAACGTTCGAATTTTAGATCCAAAAAAATTGGAAACATTCAAACCTCTCAAATTTAGAATTAGGGAAGTTCGAAATGTTCGAATTTATCGAACCTCAAGTAAACGAATATACGAAATAATCGAACCCAAACTTTTAGAAACCGTGAAAGCTTCGAACTTTTCGAATTCAAAACCCCACGATTTCGGAAAGTTGCGAAGTTTTCAAATTCGAACCTCCGTACGGTCGAAAATATCGAAACCTTTCGAATTCGAACATCAGTTTGGTACGAAAATATTGAAACCTTTCGAATTCTAACCTAGGGCGGTTTGCGGCATCCCTAGTTTTGACGTGTTGTTTGTGCGTTTTTTCGTGTTTTGTGCACAAATAAACTTTCAGTTGCTAGCCAGCGCCACGTCTGTCGTTACCTCTTCTGGTTGCCCTCGTTTATTTTTTAGCTGCTCCCCTTTTATGATGTCAGACCAACTTGCCAAACTTTATGCATTGTTTTAATTTGGGCCCTCTACTTGAAAGAGAAGAGGTGGGCATCATGTTACAAAAAGTCACGCTTGTAAAACTGGGGTGACCCCGAAAGGATATCCTGTACTCCTCGAGTTCCTGCATGTCCTCCTTGAGCCGCTGGGACTCCGCCTTCTGCTTCTGCACGTCCACATACTCGAGGAAGGTGACCTCGTCGTCGTCGAGGCCGCGGATCATGTTTTCTACGAGCAATGGCAAAAACACATTCCACGAATTTCAGTGCCAACTGGTATCTTGCTCCGAGCAACCGAGGCAGTCTAAGCACGTTATAACAGACTTTGATTTTGACCAAGATTATCGTCTGTTGTAAGAGGAGTATGTTGTATGCAGATATGAAGTGGAGTCAATGGTACGGAGAGGAAAACCAACCAAACTTCACAAATCGGTATGTTATATCCAAACGTCTGTTGTAACGACCTCACACTCTATTTGTGGCCTAACCTGCCTAGCATTGCGTCGAGAATGCGACAAACGATGCATCTTCAACTTGAGAGCAAATCTCGAGAGACCCAATGTCCCGCATTACTTCTTGTTTAAATCAGAAAACAAACATGGGTGCCAAGCACGCAGCCAGGATTTTGATTCGGGGGGGGGGGGGCGTCCATGACAAAATGCTGTATGGGGAGGACGGGGGAGAGGAGGCCTCAGCAAAATGGAACATATGGGGGAAGGTTCGCCCCCCCCCCCCCCCCCCCCCAATGACTATTCGAGGGGAAGGGGGAGGGGGGGGGGGGGCGAAACTTCCCCCAAATGCAAGATTGATCAAAATCGCAAGATTGCCCAGTAGAATTTTCGCTGCTCAATATATAATATTGCTTGCCAAGGTGTGAGCATTCACAATAAAGCAATTAACTGTAAGTAGTAAAATGTATGTTTGACTTTATGGTATTCATCCTGGAAGAATATGTTCACAGACACACGTCCTATAGCAAACACTGCAAGCTTTTGTTTGAAAAACAGATTTGTGAAGGCCAGCTTAAAAATCTTCGCAATGTTTTTCACTGCAAAAGCATTCTTATTCTCCGTTGGTGATTAGAGATCCATCTCTGGAACTTGGCATAGGTCTGCAATAAACAAAATCCGGAAAATGTGGACATCTGTGAACCTGAATTTCAACTCCCTGTTCACACTGTGTACTATCTCGCAGAAAATGGAATGGCGTTTTTGTTTCTCGAATAAAAATTCCCCCTCCCCTCCCCCCCCCCCCCCCCCCCCCCCCCCCAAAAAAAAAAGAATTTTAGAGATAATTTTGTTGATGGAGATTTCTTTGTGTGAAAAGAACTTGAGCTTCAGTTGGATGTCTTTCGCTTCGGAAAGCATCCCCGCCACGAGTTTGCCTAGGAATCTTACACTTAGGTAATTACGGTAACGTTAAATATCAACCAGTAAATGCCAAGGTACACGCTGAATCAGGATCAGGAAGATTCTGCAATGGCATCCTTCCACAGAGAAAAAAAATGGTCATCTCCTCATAAAAATAACAAAAAAAAAGCTGCAAAACTTTTGCTTTTTTTATGTAAGAACTACTGTGTGCGAATGGGAATGGTACAAACTGTGATTATGAAGGAAACTTATGCTAGATATACAATGACACCTTTCATTACATTGCTGAGCAACAATTGCCGAGGGATAATACAGTGAATGCGCATAAGGAAGAGCTGTTTAAGGCTGTAGTGCGACACTTTTTAACATTGAAAGAATTTGCAGTTTGTATTTTTTATACGTTTATCTAGGCACAAGAAAAAAAACAAAAAGAAACGTGCCACCTTCCCCCGAAAAACTGCTATCCCGCTGCGCAATTGGAAAGGGAAAAAAAGCACATTATTTGCTGATCTGCCACCGCGTGTGGCGGTTGCAATTGCTCGCGATTGCTTGCCACGACCTTCGGCGACGCTAATCCTTCGGTAGTCAACAACCGCGGAGGAAGTGGCTGGGGTCTCTGAAGAGAGAACCCAAGGGGAAACCAGGAGCGCTATGTTGCGCTTTTTAGACTCCCACGGCGACTATGAAGAAGGATGTGACGTCAACAACGCAGCAAACGCAGATTGGATGTTAATTAGTGAGAGTCGCTGAGGACGAATTTCCGCAGAAAAAACATCCAATCTGCGTTCGCTGCGTTGTTGACATCACATCCTTCTCCCTAGTCGACGTGGGAGTCCAAAAAGCGCAACACAGGGGGGCTATGTTGCACGTTTTGGACTCCCAGGAGACTAGGGAGAAGGAAGTGACATCAACGATACAGCAAACGCTGATTGGATGTTGACAGAAGAAAACAAAATCAACATCCAATCTGCATTTGCTGCGTTGTTGACGTCACTTCCTTCTCCCTAGTCTCCTGGGAGTTTAAAAAGCGCAACATAGCACCCCAGGTCTCCAGGTGGCCCTCCAGAGATGAGACTCAAAGCACAGCGTGAGAGTTGAGGGGCACATGGTTAATTCGGTTTGGTTAATTTTTTAATATAAAAACTAGCACATGGGGGAAATCTTTTTCCTTTTTTTTGTTCTTCGTTGTGTAGGTGACACAAATCAATTACTCAAAGTCCGAAAGCCACTGAATCGCCCCTTAACTTATCTCTATGCTTTCTAATAACAGTGCACAAATTAAATTCAGGTTTGCACCCACATTCATGGCAGTCCATCGACAAATGACCGTCACGCGGACACCTCCTTCCGCGCTAAAATGAGGCGTTCTGCAGTTGGAAGCAATTTAAAATTCAGAAATTAGCAAGAATATCAATAATATCCGGCAGATTTCACACCATTTGGAAATGTGAGTTATTTTTTCTCCAAAGTGGGCGCCGGCAACCAACGAAACGCGTAGCAATTGCACCGGTGCGCACTTACTGAGCTTATGCGCTTCCTCATAGTCGGCCTGCTTCTTGAGTCGCTGCTCTTCGAGTCTTTCGAACAAGGACCTCGGGTCGTACTCTTCCTCGGGGGCCTCTGCAAAAGAAACGCGTTAAGAGGAGTCAGTTGGTGTCGGCGGCGGCACCCGCCGTCCAGTCAGCCAGGGGACACCTTACCCACGGGATCTTCGGCCGTTCGTACTCTGTCCCACTCTTCTTGCCTCTTTTTCCGTTTCTCTTCGAGCTCTGCTTCGGACACGAAGGACTTGAACTTGGGGATGGACTCCTCCTGCGATGTGCTGCCGCCGAAACTCATATCGTCGCAGCTCGCTCGGGCAGGCTTGGCGTTCCAACTGCCGGTGAACCGGACGAGTCTAGTCCGTCATGGGGCTCGATCGAGTGGATCTCGAGATTCCTCGAATCAAAATACGCTACAACAGGACAAATACAGCGCACACAAAAGGCGAGTTGACAGTTTCTTCCTACAAAACTCGCAAAAACTTTACGTTTGATTCTTTCAGACGAGCTAGAGAGCGTAGATCACTGATCATCTATTGTAGTATGGTCAGTATGGTATGGTGCCTGGAGCGCGTCTCCGACTGGTGTGTTTAGCCGTTTGGCGTCCTATGCCGCCCATACATCAAAAGTGGTCCCGAAGTGGCAACAAATGACGTCACAGAAGCCGGAGTGTCATGCTGTTGCATGTCGCGATCCTGGTGGTTGGTCGTAGAAATGCTGGCGAAAACCACAGGCGAGCACGAGTGTCGCTGTCGTCGTGGCGTTCCAGGCGTTCCGACTTCCGGCTGCTTAGCTTCCGTGGACTGCGCATTGGAGAGTGACCTGCAGCAGAACAGGCGTCTGCCACACATACCACAGCTATGAGACGCCGCCAGGTTCGCGACCTGCGACAACATGACACTTTTAGGACGTCATCAGGCGGAAATCGAGGGACCACTTTTTTGGACTCGGTAAACACACCAGTCGGAGACGCGTTCCAGACACCGTAGTCAAACTACAGTGGCTTAAAGGTGGTAGTGTAACGAACGAAACCGTAGAAGCGGCACAGCGTTGGAAGACGGCCGCGGGTGGCGCTGGCGCTTGCAGCACCGCCGTACATCTGAGCGCTATGCAAAAAGAAAGCTTCGAAAGGAACGCGAATATCTTTCCACCGGTAAGTTCGTGGATTGTTGAAGTTCATGAAACTGCTCTGATGATTTAATTACATTCGTGAAATCGAAGGCAGTTGTTAACCATGTGTGGGACCCCGAGGGTCTGCTTGCATGGCCTGCATCAAGGAGGTTAGATGTACTAGGAGGGGGCACGTTGCAATATTGGTGAAGCCTAGTCATAAAAAGTTTAAACGATTTTGTGCCCAGCTTGACCGCAGATCTGTCTGGCGATTGGTGCGCATGACATGTCACGTGTGAGATGGATGGTTGATTGTAGAAGAACTCCTTGCAGGCTTGCGCGCGCTCCGTCCGGTAGGTTTTATCAGATCGAAGGCTAGACTGTGGTGTATTCTAGTACCCCATAGCAAGACGAAGGCTCGCTACGGTCACGTGATCTGGTCACGTTGGCATGGTAAGTGAGGAGAGTAAGGAGAAAAATAGGAAAGAGGCAAGGCGTCAAGGGAGCATGGCTTGTGGAGGCTACGCGGTCGACGTAAGCCCTCTCCTACCCTTCTATCCTCCTTGTGTCGACTACACTGTCGTCTGCTAGTTTCACATTTTTTTTATTCACCTTCAAACACAAATCATGTCGTTGGAAGTTCACTGGAAACAAATAATTGTTTTTGATGTATTTATATTAGTTAAGAAGCGTGTTAGGGTGCCTCTATCTGCCGGCCGATTGAGGCACCCAACGGAGCTGCGGATCGAAGCGCCATCTACATCGTCTTCCAAGGAGTGGCCGTTCCCGAGGCATGGTGAAGGCTACGCGATAACCACACCGTAACCACACTACCCCCTTTAAGCCACTGTAGTCAAACCAAAACAATACCGGCGCCATGTTTAGCCTGCGTTGTTGCCAGATCTTACCGGAAGTCGAGACGGGACGCTGCGTCGTTCAACTGGTTCAACTCAGCAGCGAAGTCAACAAAAAAGAGCAAATCCAAGAGTAGTTCTCCTCCGCGGCGGTCGAAAGAGTGGGAGTTTCAAATGTGAAGATGTTCCAACTCCGACTAAAACAGGTCCTGTGACGTTAATACTGCTAAAAAAAAAAAAAAAAAATATATATATATATATATATATATATATATATATATATATATTTTTTTTTTTTTTTTTTTTTTTTTTTTTTTTTTCCCCGTGGAACATTTGTTTTGTAAGGCCCGCTTCAGACGGGGCAACTTTTCCAGCAATTTTGAGGTTGCTGGCAGGTTGTTCCCTAGCTTTCCCTAGATCGACACGAATTAAAATTATCTGTTGGGCTAGTTGGTTAAACATCTTAATTACAAAAGCGCAAAGGACAAGGACAGGACAAAGAATGAACAGGACAAGCGCTTACTAACAACTGATTGTTTAATGCATAATAAGAGAAAGACGAAAATGAGAGGAGATTTAATAAATTAAGATTCCAATTGTTTTCCAACTTAAAATGATTAAAAATTATTTGAGAAAAATTAGGACTGATAGAAATTAAAATTAAAGAAAAGCATCCAGATTAAGAAAAAAGGTTGAGGTACCCCATCTCTTTCTCAGACAGTGAAATTGATGGTGTGCTAATGCACGTGTCTCCTTTCAGTCCTAATTTTTCTCAAATAATTTTTAATCATTTTAAGTTGGAAAACAATTGGAATCTTAATTTATTAAATCTCCTCTCATTTTCGTCTTTCTCTTATTATGCATTAAACAATCAGTTGTTAGTAAGCGCTTGTCCTGTTCATTCTTTGTCCTGTCCTTGTCCTTTGCGCTTTTGTAATTAAGACGACACGAATTGCTGATAGCATCTTCGATCAACTCGCACCGGAATCGCCCTGAAACCAGGGGGGCTATGTTGCGCTTTTTGCACTCCCAGGAGACTAGGGAGAGGGAAGTGACGTCAACGACACAGCAAGCGCAGATTGGGTGTTGATTTCGTTTTCTTCTGTCAACATCCAATCTGCATTTGCTGTGTCGTTGACGTCACTTCCCTCTTCCAAGTCTCCAGGGGTGCTATGTTGCGCTTTTTGCACTCCCAGGAGACTTGGAAGAGGGAAGTGACGTCAACGACACAGCAAATGCAGATTGGATGTTGACAGAAGAAAACGAAACCAACACCCAATCTGCGTTTGCTGTGTCGTTGACGTCACTTCCCTCTCCCTAGTCTCCTGGGAGTTGAAAAAGCGCAACATAGCCCCCCTGGGAGTGCAAAAAGCGCAACATAGCACCCCAGCACAGTGCACAGCGCTCCTCGGTCGTGCAGCGCGATGTCGGTGCAACATCGAGGACAAACTGCGCCGCGCCGGTGTACATACCTACTAGCAGGTACAAACTGCTCTAAAGCAGGTAAAAGACTGGTAAGTCAGGGCGGTGCGGACTCCGTGTTTCGCGCTTTTCGCAAGGTGACTGGGTAAGTGCTTTTGCGAGGTATGCGGAATACGCAAACGATTTTGTTATGCTCGTCGGTTGCGTCTCTCCAGCAAAACGAATAAGATGATCTACAAAGGCGCAATCACAAGCCAATATTTACGATAACAGTGCATTTGATTCGATGGTCCGTGTAGTTGTATTCTACACTGCTTTCTGCAACTCCGTGTCATGGCGAAGAGCTGGAACGTTCACAGATTGTGCTGGGCTACCGGTTGACCCAGGGGCAAATCCAAAATTCCGTTTTTTTTTTTTGTTTTTTTTTGTTTTTTTTTTGGGGGGGGGGGGGAGGAGAATCTAAAGCAAGATAAACAGGACTCGGGTTGCGCCTTTTGTTTTAACCACCGCAGAACCACACTGCGCCGACGGCCCCTAGATGTGCGCCGCTGCGCCGAGGCGTGCTTTGAAACCGCCGCCGCGGACTTCAGTCTCGGTTGAAGGGACGGAGTGGTTCTCCAAGTTCAGAGTACAAGTGTGCCTGCTAGGGTGCGACCTACCCTATTTCGAACCCTCGTCTTTGAGTACCGAGCCTCCTACCACCTGGCAGGCCGGTAGTTGGTTTTATTTCGGGGGATCCGCCCATGTCAAATCGGCCTTCGAGAAGGGGGCAGGGGGGAGGGGGGGGGGGGGGGGGGGTGAAGGTGTCGATTGTTTGGAGGGGGGGGGCGGCCGTCCTTTTATATTGTCGGGGCCAAAGATAATCTCCAGTGATAGCAACAGTGATTTTGAGGGGCCGCACAAGGCCAAAGTAAGGAAGTTTAATTACGTAAAAAGGTTTTAATGAAGCAAAATTAACCTTTAAATGGCCACCCAACTAGAGGAATCTATTCTTAAGCTAGTCCATGACGATAATCTCAATATTGACGCAAATTAACAGATTTTCTGAAAATATAGGGATGTCTAGGGAACTTTCGGAGAATGTTCAAAACGGGCTTAAAGTTTCCCGTAAGTTGCGGGGGGTCTGTACAGGCTGTGATAAAGGGAGGGAAGGGGGCCTTATTCGATGCACGCAAAACCGACTTGATCAAAGCGTATGCGTAGCCCGGCACGTTTCTTGCGAAACAAAAGCGACCAGCAACGTGGAATGAAATCCATTTCCAGCCCGAAACGCTACAACTTGCAGCTCATGTGGTACCCACTTGCAGCACCGAAAAGTACATTTTGCAGTCCAACGGGTACCACTTGCAGGCCATGTAGTAGTACCACTTGCAAACAGAATGGTACCACTTGGAATGCTAGTAGTACCACTTGGACAGTGTTGCCAACCTCCGCAGTTGTTTCTTCCCCAAAGTTTATCGCAAAATTCCCTAGATTTCCCCCTGATTTTCAGAAAATTTGTTAATTTGCGTGAATATTGAGATTATCGTTCTGGAGTAGAGATTCCTGTAGTTGGGTGGCGATTTAAAGGTTAGATTAGCTTCGTGAAAACCTTTTTTACGTAATTCAACTTTTTTACTCTGGCCCTGTGCGCCCTCCCCCCCCCCCCCCCCCCAAAAAAAAAAAAACAACAAAACAACAAAAAACAAAAAAACTCCCTGTTGTTATCATTGGCCCCGGCAATATACAAAGAAGCCTTTTTCCCGCTGCACTCGGCCGGGACGAGGAGGAAAAAGGGAAGGAACGTGTCTCTAAAGCCCTCTGAAACCCACGAAAGAACAATCCCAAGATTTGAACAAAACTCCCCTTGCCCCTAGACCGTCACGAAAATCCCTAGATCCCGGGGAAAATCCCTAAGGTTGGCAGCACTGCACGTGGAATACCCCTTTATCTATTCTCGGGGCCATACTATTTTCGAAACTTTCGAAGCATTTGCCGCCCCGTGTCGTGTTTACACTGAAAAGGCCAATTTCCTAGAGCTGCTGGATCACCGCTCGTGTAATGCGCTCTGGCTGGAGTGCGGACGTTGCACTCTCAGAAAAAACAAAGTCTAATATTACACCCTTTGTCCCATATAAGACACCCCAAAAAATTTCTTTCGACGTACAGCGCACTGACGTCGATCTGACGGTACTAACTTTCACCAGAGGCTTGATAGCCGTGTGGTACAATTGATTAAAATAGATAATGTACGTGTTACTGACTACAAAAAAAAATAATAACCGGTGTTTTCTTGGCCCTACTGCAAAACATCAGTGTTTTGTTTCTGTGGTTTTTGGTACATACTTTAGCTATTTCATAAGTTATATCGCACCGTTATCAAGCCCCTCGTAAAATTGGGGGCAGTCTGTTCAACTAGAGCGCGCTGTACGTCGAACTAAAGTTTTGGGGTGCATTATATGGGACAAAAACGGTGTAAGGTGACACCCTTTGTTTTTAAGGTGTATCTGAGGGTGCCCCCCCCCCCCCCCCAAGTTCTGACACCCCCGACCTCGACCATGCACATGTGGGGCAGCACGCTTTCCAAGAAATCAGTTTATTTGACACGGCATTCTCTCGTCACAATTTTATTTACGAAGAGCAGAAAAAAAGTTTTTCTCGTGTTGCGATTTTTTTTTTCATTGCTTTCTTTTTTTTTTTTTACGGTTGCACACATACAGACATAGGGATGACACGTACGACACGCTGTTTCTGAAAGGCATAGAGGACGTCGACGAATGCAAACCTGGCGTGAAAACAAAACAAAAACAAATGGTATTTGTTGGTATTGCCTGCTTGCACATTGCTATATGTACACACACTAGCAACACTCGGGAGAAAAAGAAGTGAACTTGTGTGAAGAAGGCGAGAATGTCAATATATACATGGGTCAAGACAGCACCCCCTATAGGTGCGTACATTAATCCAAAGAAGCGTCGGCCAACACGCTTTGAGCGCTTCGTCAGCGATGACGGGGCCGGACGACAAAAGGACCGCCGGCACGCGAGGGGGGCACACGTAGCTCTTGGGCGCTTATAGCAAGCAGCTTCGTGCAACACCCGTGACGAAGAACAGCGGGCCGGAGGCAGACAACAACACAATTGCACTGTTGGGTCAATAAATAACTGGCGCCGCTTCGTCAGAGCAAACGTCGTCTGCGGCGCTTTATCTCGTTTCACCTGTTGCACTGTGTCCGCGGCCATTTTGTCGGGTACGAAAACAAAGGAGAAGGCCGCATGTAAGGCGACGGGCAACACACGCCGAGACCGGAGAGTGCGCGAGTGCACGCCTGGAACCACCTCTGTCTGATCACGTGGTCGGGTCGGTGGGGCTCCTGCCCAACACCATCTAGACAGAAGGCCTCCGCACGCGTCATCCCAGATCGGTCGAGGCGTGAGATTGGCCACGAGTGCTGTGTCACTGTTCGACTGGGGCAATGAGCGCGTCGAAGGTCGGGCCATATGTTGGCGCCATCCGACCCTGATGACGCTTCATAGAGGGAGAAAAGACCGTGCGGAGGCCTTCTGTCTTGGTGGTGTTGTCCTGCCGTGCCGCCACCACATCCTTGAAAGACGACCGAGGCGGATTTGGCGGGAACTTGCGCAAGTAAGGCACGCTTCGTGAGGGCGCCAAGTATCGAGTTGAAATGCCGAGAGTGGCCACACACGCACAAAATGCACAACAAGGCACACACACATCGAGGACACTCGGGATTGGAGAGCAGAGACGACGCTCCTGCGCTCCGCAAAAGAAATGGCCGTTGCAAAGAAACAAAAGAAGGTGCAATTTGGCGCTAATGGAAGACCAGTGTGATTTTGCTGCTTCAACTGGAGCTAGCAGATACAAGGAATATCGGACGTACGCTATGCACGAAACTCGAGGGTCCGCTTTTTCGCGTTCCTGGCGACAGCCATGGTCTCGAGCCTACTTGGAAAACGCAGATTTTGTACGGCACAAATATGTAGAAACGAGCCGTTTTAAAAGCAACATGAGACAAAGGAAAAAAGGCCCGGCTAAAGCTAGCAAGCCAGGAGTTGAAAGACAAAAACAAAATACACAGCTCACAGCAATACTAAGAGGACTGTAAAGAGCCGAACCGGGTCCGAACACAAAACTCTTTGTCCGCCATGGAGGACAGTGCGCGAGGCGTGGCAGTTCAGCGCTGATCATGCGGGGACGCATCATGTCACGGGGGGCCAGCACGGGTCCTGGTCCCCGCGGCCATGGCGCCACCTTGGCGAGGCCGCCCGCTTCAAGCCATGAACAGCTCGATGTAGCGGTTCCCGATGTTCTGGCGGTTCTTCTCCTGGATGGCCCGCTCGGCTTCGGCCCGAGTCGGGAAGGTGACCACGGCCTCGCCGTTGGGGCGGCCGTCCGTATTGCGCTGAATCTGGATGCAGTCCGTCGTCAGCTGAGGGGAAAAGGGGCGTCCGATCAGTGGCGCTGTCGCGGGGGCACCGGCTCCCTGCCCACCCAAGAGACAGCACGCACCCCTGGGGCCCGATTTCGGTTACGGCGACAGCCAGATCTAATTTGCCCCTCGCAAGGGAGCGAAGGTAACCTTTGTAGACGGGTCGTCTGCTAACGCGAGAGAAAAAAAATGCGGTTCGTCTGCTACGAAACGCCATTCGCAGACGGAAATAAAACAAGCAAACCCAGCTTACGTCGTTTGCTAACAGACAGAAAAAAAAAAGTTGATCTTCTGCTACGAAGCGAACGCCACTATATGGTGCCTGTCAGATTTGTGCTCGTTACTTGAAAAATGTTATGGATTGCAATTATAAATTACCGAGCCTCACATGTAATGGGTTACCGTTACAAATTAGTTTCGCTGAGAAGTAACAGATTACTTTACTCGTTACGTTACAAATTACTTGCACGTAACTTTTTCCGTCCACTTATCCAGAAAACAATAGAAACAATTTAGATATTTTTCAGAAAATGTTCCGCAACGCTAGTTTTCATTTCTCATACGCCCCTATTATGGTAATCCATGTAAAAATCAAATATTGTATTTAAGAGAAAAAGTGCAGGTGCACTCCGTTCACCTGTTGAAAAGGCACCGAAAGCTGTAACCACACCCGCCATCCCGCTAGCTTACGGCCTCAGGAAATGATCCCTGGAATTGTGCAGCTAGCGGTGCGCATGCGCAGTAGCAGCGTCTACCTCCGCTACGAGATTCGGAGCTAAAGAAGCGATCTACGAAAGCTCCCTTTTGACTAGAGTGTTTCGCCTGTTAATCTCAAGAAAAGAAAAACTTGGTTCTAACGTTACAATGTAGAGTCAATACAGAATGCAGGTGTCCCAGCTTATCTGGATGTGTTTCCGTAGATTAGAGTTTGTTGTTCTTGCTAATGACAATGTGTGTGTTTTTGGCAAGCGAAGTATGCATTGAAACTCTAGGTTTCCGTTCTCCTTAATGCCCTGAATTTTGAATATCTCATTAAGAGATGGCCATGGAGACGACGGACACTCCATGACCGAAAACTCGACCAGTCAGAGAAAAAGTGGCGGCTACGGGTTATCGAGCGTTTCATCGGTTCTCACTTTCATACCAATATTCGTGGAGGCCGTGGCGAGGGGAGGGCATAGAGAGTGAGAGAAGCGGTGGCCGTCGGTCTCACAAAACAATAGAGGATCACACCACTTTTGCGCTTTCTCTCTCTCTGTTAGCACTCCTTAGATGGCCTAACCCCCCCCCCCCCCCCCCCCCCCCTCTTTATGTTGACAGTTGAGTCTTAAGTGAGGATTGGACTCGACTACCACGACCAGACAAGTAAACCAAAAGAAGTATCGTCCGTACCCTCGAAGACGATGCTCTTAGCATCGAGCAGGGCGCTTTTCAGCCGTGTCTCAAGAGCGCGCTAGGATAAAGTAGCGTACATCAAAGACAAGGAGAATTCGACTCCCTCGCGCGAGGCTACATCGTCTGTTACGCGAGTTGTGAACCCGCGTATTGAGGGGGTGCGGACCCGCGTCTGATGTCTGTACAAAAAATAGTGTTTTCTTTTCAGTCATACAAAAAATCGTGTTTTCTTTTCGGCTATTCTCCCCTTCCTGATGTTTTCTATTCTGTTGAACTTGCTCTCTTTATGCTGCTGAATGTTCTGCTCGTATTGCCCAGTTACTGTATAATGATCATATTTAAAAAAAGTAACGAGTAAATAAAGTAATCCTTTACCAATATTTTGTAACGAAATTACATAACAGATTACATTAAAAAAAAGTAACGTGGCAATTACAAAATTGCTTGTAAAAGCAACGGATTACTTTCCAAGTCTGGGGCCTGTAAGGCGTCTTCTCCGACTGGTGTGTTCATCGCGTCTGAAAAGATCCGAGCACAACGGGGAAGTGAAAGCGGGCTGCAATGGCGATCGTCTGCTATTTCACGTCGGAAGCCATTGACAACCCACACTTGGATGTGCAAGTCTCAAGTTGTTCTGCTGCCGTGCACAAGCTGATATCGACCGGTGGATGAAGGGGAAAGCAGATCGAAGGTTGCGAGACCTCCCTCGCTATTTGTATGTTAATAAAACGTCCTAAGCAAAAAAAAAAAAAAAAAAAAAAAAACATATTGTTTGATTGTCAAGTGGCGAACAGGGGCTCTCACTGCTTGATTCTACGCAAGCTGTGGCGCCAGTGACGTTCAATGAGCAGCCTAGAACGCTTTCACTTTGACCAAAATCGGAGCTGCGGCAGGGGCTCGACAGAGCACCGCCTGACTTAACCAACACTGCACACGCTGCACATAATTCGAATCAAGGGGAACGGCTAAAGAATGGCCGCCTTGGGTTGCGCTGAGTCGGTGTTTCCCCGTCAGAGAGTAGGGGCTTAGCCGCATGATATGTTGGCTCCGAAGAAATATTGTGTAGAACCGACAAAGTCTGCACAACGGTGCTGCTCTATTTCACACCCGCTGGGGGCAAAGCGGGCCTGTTTCTAAACACTGTGTTGGTGTCAACGTTACTAGAACCACTCAGATGGGAAACTGCCATAGAGACTGCTCTGAAAACGTGGCACCGATTCGTACTCGAGAACCGAGCTAATGGCGATCCCAACGCCACCATTTCTCCCGCAGCGGCCACTCGAGGAACTGCACGTGACTTCTATTTTGTCTTTAATCGGCCATTTTGGCGCCGAAACAGATACTGTGGAAGGGGCTTCACGGGTGCCTACCCCGTCTCCCAAGCGGGCGCGGCGCGGATTATCACCGAGGTTAGGGTGCGTCTCGGTCGGGACGCGCTGCCTGAAATCACCGCTGAGGCATGGTTGTATAAAAACAATATTAATTGTACCGCAAAACCTTGCAAACTAAAGATTTTAGAAAACTATACGCGTCCTTCATTTTGTACGAAACTCCAATAAAAGTTTCTGGAAAAAGAGTTTTTTTTCGTTGGTGTTTACGCAAAAACATGCTTTCTAAAAGCTCAAGGTGACCACAGTAAAGGCAAATGGTAAAGAGTGGCGCTGTTGTCGTATTTAGCTCGGACTCGGTGGACGCCAGCGGCCCAGGTTTCGGCGGTGAGTTTCCCAACTGAGGGTTCTGGTAACGTTGACACCAACCAACGTTACTGAAACACTTAGTTTGGAAACTCGCTCTAAAAACCTGGGCCGTTGGCGTCCACCGAGACCGAGCTAAATACGATAACAGCGCCACCCTTTAGCGGTGAGTTGATACATGAAAATTGCTTTATATGGCTACTGCAAAATGGCCCTGCGAGATGGCGCCACCGGCCCTTCCGTAACTCTACGGAACCAGTGAGTGCAGCCGTGCAGTTCGCGGAGTGGCCGCTGCGGGAGAAATGGCGGCGTTGCGATTGCCATTAACTCGGTACTGGGATAAGGATCGGCGCAGTTTTTCAGAGCAGGCTCTATGACAGTTTCCCAACTGAGTGGTTCTAGTAACGTTGGGCTGTACCGAAAACAGACGAGAAATGTGTGGTGAAGGTCAGTTTCTATGTGTTTTCTGCCCACTCGGCTCGTCCGAGAACGTGGCTAGGTGCCGTGGAAAGTGAAAACTAAACATCGTCGGACCACGTTTGCTAGCGCGGGAAAACTTTTTGGGTCGAATTCACGGATACTTGTGGTCGTCGGATGTATTTGTTTTCTTCGAACATAAATGCGGGAAAACCGTCAAGCTGTCCGGACCACCTGCGGGCCACGTTCAGTGCGCCATGCAAAGGGGGAAAAAAAAAATAACATCCTGGTTGGGAAAAGGAAGTTATAAAACGAGTTTACAAAAAAAAAAAAAAAAAAATAGAGCTATATTTACGGCGCGATACGAATTTGTAGTTGGCGCCCGCGGGTGCCGCGGAAAAGTGGTCTCTATTTGTCACGTGACTAGTCCATATTTGTCACGTGGTGCTTGCGCTCTTTCGGAAGCTTCCTATGGCCTCTAAGAGTAACTTATTCATCCTTGTTTGAATTATAACCAAACACTAAGATTAATAAATAGCTTTTAGAGCCCAAAGGAAACTCCTGAAAAAGCGCAAACAGACGTGATAGACCTGTGCAACGGTCAGATGACGGCGACGGCGCCCCGAAGCAGACGAACTTGTGCGGCGACGGCGGTGTGGAGAAACGCGTTGAAGCGGCGTCGCACTACGCTCAGCGTGCGGCGGCGGCGACGCAGCGCGGCGGCGCACAGGCCTACCACGTGACCATTGGCGGCTCCCGCGGCGCCAAATACAAATTCGTTTCGCGCCGTAAATATAGGTCTAATTTTTTTTTTCTTCGTTGTAAATTCGTTTTATATTATTCTTTTTTCATATAGCCTATTTAATTTTTTTTTCCTTTGCATGTGTCCTTTAACGTTCAATCGGCCGTGTGATCGTTAAAACTGTCGTCTGGTTTTTCAAACTTTATCGTCTGCTCATTCCAACGACATAGGCCAGAAGACCAAACGTTGCGATAAAGAGTAAACGCAGGCCTCAAAAGATTTTTACGTTTGACGGTTGCTTGGGGCAAGGAGGATCGTTGTAACTAGTAGACACAAGCAGATGCTGATCATTGTAACCAGTGGCCAGCACCAAATTGTTATGCCTAATTCCATTGGTTCGATTCTGCTTGCGATTTCTAGTATTGACGTCGAGCATCGCGGGTTCCCGTCCACGCTTTTGCAGCCCGAGTGACGTTGGGACTGCAATTAACGAGAAGAATCTCAGCATGTGAATCATGGTTTCGCGTTCTTTCTGCGGTGTTTACGCGGAACGAATCGCCGCGCGTCACATGCGTTGCACGAACTGTTGCGGTGTATCGCGTCTTTGTAAATTTCGCTCAAGCCAGAAAAGTACTGCGTGTCCCTAATAGTGGTCAGGCTCTTTAAATCGACAGCAAAAATCGGTTTCTTGACCTATCGCGTTTCGATTGTGTACAGGGTTGCCCAAAGGTGGTGCAATTTTTCTATACAAT